TATAAAACGTACCATATGGTACAATTGTCACAAACGAAATGCAAACGTTTCTCGTTGGGGAAAATGACAGTGAATCTTACAATTTGTTTCTGACTATGTACAAAACTGTACAAAACCACAAATGATATGATGATCGATGAGCAAATGGGAATTGTTTGGTACAGTTTATTTTCGTACCCTGACTTTAAGCCAGCGAATAAGCAAAGAAGTTACCACTTCCTCCGAGTACGGCGATTCCATTAGCTTTTAATGTGCAACTCCAACGTAGGTTTCTATGAATTCATATTTGAAGAGAAAATTTAATAAATTAAACTTCACTTGTGAATGTTACTTCATACCGCCGTTTAAAAAGTCCACGTAATTGCATACTTTTAGGCATTTTATCGACTTTTTTAGAGCCAGTTTCTCAGGACACCGTTAAATCTCACTGTTATATAAACAAAGTTTAAACTCAGTTTAGCCAATCAAATGCCGGCCAGCTGTTAAATATACTTAAACTTAAAATAATGGCCCTGAACAGGTGGATCTAAGAAATCACATGAACGTAGTTGAAACTGTGAAAGAAATACTAGTTTAGTAGACTCGCCAAGACTCAAGTGTAAGCGATGAAGAAGAAACCGTTCTTTGTGGAATTCGTTCCAGGCTCAATTTTACTAAGTTATTCTCTAAGAAATAGAAAAAATATGGATAAGAGCGGTATGTATATCAGCTTTGAATTATCCCCAGCCTGATAATGTACGAACTGCTATAATTCATTACTTTTATGATTCAAATTAGCATGAACACAAACGTGTAGCCAGAAGTCTGTGGAAGTTTCCAACTAAACAAATAAGCATTAAATGAAATTTACGCCATAAATTTGCATAAATAAATACCTAATAGAGACGCATTTGTTTGTTATTGTTTAGTTACAATTAGCTCACATGCCACATTAGGTATGGCAAGCAATAAATCAATTAGCTACGACCATTTCACAGAATGCAAGCCACAGCCAATTACACGCAACATCAGCGTGTTGCAAATGCATGAATTTAAAAGCGAATGCATCTCTGCTGGTGTGTGCATGTTGATATCTGCGGGGATGTGTGTGTGTGTGTGTGTTTGCGGCCTGCAACTGTCAACACTTGCGTCCCCGCCGAATACTTTTCGCTCGTCAAATGCGAATTATGATAATACGAGACATTTATTGGCAAGAGTTAATTGTGGCAAACAGCTGGTGGCTGATAGCTACTGGCGCTGTGCGATGAGTTATCGACAGCTGTTGCAACAAGTAATGCAATGAGCGTTGGCGTTGCAACAGCCGCATATTTGCTATAAATAATTTCAATTTTATAGCAGTTCAGTGGCTGATGGCCTGAATGTGCTATTTATTTTGCTGTAGGTCACAAGGCTATGCACACACACACACACACAGGATATATTTTCGAAAATTCAATTACGAATAAATTAATTTTTGAACAACAAATAATGAAGCGAAATGGAATTAATTGACGCCGGTTAGCTTGACTGGTTCCTAATTGATGAATCAACTTTTAATTAAAAGCATAAATAAGCGCTTCCATGGAAATGCTTAGCACCACTAACTATGTAAGTGCATCTGAATATATATTTAGCGATAACGAATGCCAGTAATATTCTGAGAAAAGGTTGCAGGCGCTTAAAATGTGTAGACGCTGGAGATTTTTGCATTTTGCGCTTCAAATTTCTGCAGCTGCTTTTCCACTTTGCGGCTGCTTATAAATTCATTTATTCCATTAGGTCGAAAAATATTTAACAATTTTTCATTTCAATGCATTCACTGACTTTAATTCACACATGAATGGGTCAGTTGCTTTCTCGGTGCAAACGCCAACTTAAATGTACACCAACACACGCACACTTGCTATTTTCAAAAACCGACTTGTGGATTTTAAATCCAGTTTATTTATTCATTAAAAAAAATCACATCAGAAACCTTAGAAATTTACAATTTAAACTAAAAACTGTGTGTGGAGTGGTGCAAAACTTTTGTGGCATGCAACTTAGCAAACTTGCTACACTTCTACTTCCATTTTCTGGACATTGCAACTCACCCCTCCGCATGAAGAAAAGCGCAAAAAACAGTTGTGATGAAGGGACGTTGAGTGAGGGTGGAAAATCCGAGAAATAGTTTGCTTAACTAGCAAATGCAGAACAAAAGAAGCGTTAGAAGAGCGTACAGCTGCGAAAGACAAGCGGAAATTAGCGTAAGGAAATGAGTAACCAATCGTTGATGAAACAAGCCGATGTTAAGTTCGCATGCCCTACGGCGGCTGGCTGACTGACTGACTGACACAGCAGTGAGAAGCTAACAAATTTTTGCTTTAAAAGACAAACATGCAGATAAAACTTTGGCCGGAAGCGAAGAAGGTAGAAAAACAAGATTATAACTGCTACAGCAAAAAACACATATAAGACTTGTTAAGTCCGCCAGCGAGCAAATAATGTTAATACTCTGCTGTTGCAGAAATACAAGTTTATAACTTCCACGTGCAAGCAATGTGAAAATAAAGCATACATTTTAGCTTGTCACACAAGCTTCATGCGAGCGCCTAAAAGTAGGCAGTGCTTTTAGTGCACTTGTGATTTCGTTAAATTTTCTTTAGTTAGTTGGCGATAGAAATTTGAACCAATAAGGGCCAGTTTAAACTGAGTTTAAATTGAACAGCTGGCTGACATTTCATTGGCTGAATATTGGTTGTTGCTGGAGTGACAGTAGTTGGTCAGATATAAATCTGGGTCGTTCCGGTTACGTAGACGTGGGAATATTGGTATGGAATATTTTTTGGTATTTCTACTGACTTGTCCAAAAGCAGCAGTTTGTTGGTGGTATTTTAGAAATAAAAAAAAACCATTCTTCTTCAGCTAATTTAACTGTAAAATGTAAAATGTAATTAGGTTTGTTCGTCGAAAATCTAGCAAGAATTATCCAACACTCAAAATATCAGAGAGTAAGAAAAAATTCTCTCAAATTCTCTCTCATGTTGAGAAACTTGCAAATTTCTGCACGAACCCAAATTTGCAGGAATTTGCAAGTTTCGCTGCCAGCTGGCGTCCACGGTTGCATTTCAAACATAAAAAATTTTTATAGAATTTTTAAAATTCTTTCGGATGGCCAAAAATAGGATATACATGTATATTTCTTGTTGTTCTGACTTTCTTTGACATACAGTTCAATTTCTTCATCGTACTAGCTGTCGGGTTTCTTAAATCGCCTCTGGTTGCAATTGCATTCCGATTGCGAATACCATTTTTTT